TAGTGCCCTCTGCTTTTTCCATACACATTATTAGGAGAAAGATCACAGGCCACAAAATACTACCCAGGAAAGAGAGCTATAATTTGGAAGAAAATATAAATGCTGTTGCTTCCCCCTCGCTTCTCTCTAATACGTGTTATGTACACATACACCGTTGATTATAAGGGACAAACCACTAATATCAAAGGTTCACAAAAACAGGTGACTCTCATAGGTATTATTTAGAAAATATTATGTTAACGTCTAATAGTCGATTATTTAACAACTATCATTTTCACATGGTCAATCAATGGTCAGCAGAACATCCTAGCCTGTCTGAAAAGCACATCCGCCTTTGATGCTAAATCCTCACGGAAAATTGACTACTCATTCACACAACTAGTGACCCATCACGAAGTGCAAGGGGGCTCCTTAGAAGAACTCGAAACAAAGACCCTTCAAAATCCTCTTGTGATTCTGCTAAACAAGTTGAACTTCTTCCAGAGAGCCACAGTCATTCTTAAAAATATGTTACGCATTATTTACATCATATATTCCAGAGCACACACAAATCACAATAGCGTGATGCATCAAATGAACAAATCCACAAGGGCCGTGACGAGGGTTCGAACCTATGTCCGAGAGGATCCCAGACGCTGCCTTCATCGACTGAGCTATGACATGGTAAAACCCTCGTCACAACCCTTGTGGATTTGTTCATTTGATGCATCACGCTATTGTGATTTCTGTGTGTAATGAAGTAAGGGTGAAGAGGTAGAACAGCCTATTGACATAGCTCGAGTGCATGGGAGGAATTGCGTAAAACCCTGGTTTGTGTCTCGGAGAGGCTGCAGGATCCGTCGGTAAATCAGGATGATTTCCCGGTTGCAATTCTTTTGCCAAGTCGTAGCTCAGTCAATTAGGGCAGCGTCTGGGATCCTTTCGGACGTAGGTTCGAACCTTCGTCACGGCCCTTTTGGATTTGTTCATATATTCCAGAGCTTTTCAAAACAGCAAAATTGAGGAAATGAATAAACGACGATGTTTGCGTCCGTCTTGGGCCATTATCAAATTGTATAATGGATTACACAACTTGATAAATTGTCCAGGACGGACCGAAACGTCCTAGTTTCTTCATTTTCAGTTGTGTGGTTTGGTCAGACACGTAACTGTGACTCATCGTCAGCAAAATTAAACTTCATGGTCAATTTGTTCCTCGAAAGAATAAAACGCTTAGAAATTATGTGTGTCTGGTTGTAATAATTTAGAGAAAAAAAAATCGAGGCTGACTACTGCACAAGTGAAATCGACTTAATGCTCCTCCAGTCTACGTTGAGAAAGTAAGGGTGAACAAATCCACAAGGATTTTAATTTTATTTTAATTTTAATTTATTTTTAATTTTAAAGAAATTGTAATTTCTTTATCCTCATAAATCTACACAATTTATAAGTACGAAAAATCTACAATTTCTGCTTAACATACATGAATGTGTGCCACTTTGGCAAGCCGATCTTTAATCTTTTAATTATTCGTCAATACTTCCAAACTGCTTCTCTGTAATTAAGTGTAGGAGTGCTTGGTTACCGTTGATCACATTCACCACCTACTGAGAACCAGTCAAGTTCTCATCCTACCATAACACAGGAACGGTACTTCCACTCTCCACAGTTCTGTTAGGGAGTCAGATAATGCTACAACTGGTCATCTCTTAAAGTTATAATTCATCATGGCTCCCTAGAAAAGTAAAGGTATAATCAATCAGTTCTTTAGCTCCTGTACAATACTGTGATCGTTAATAGTGGAGATACTCCTGTACAATATCAGTGTGGTGGGTGAACTGTGCCTAGTAAGGGTGGGTGACACCCTAACGATGTCACTGAAGGCTTTGAAGTGTTAAAAGTTTTTGATCTTGGTGAATCTTAATGATGTAAGCGAGTATAGGTGACATCTTAATGATGCCAGTGAAGACAGTGCCGAAAAAGTGGACTTTTGACGGGTAAGTAACAACGCTGGTCGTCCTAAGTGAGAGAAGGTGACACGGGAAGCAATTTTTTGGGTGTGCCAGGTGAGGCGAGGTCCTGCCAATGGCCAGGAAGAGGACGTCAGGGCAGGACCTGGCCACTCACTACTTGTAAGTTCCCTGAGGGTCATTGGAGATAAGACTGGTTCTCCAAAGTGCCTCCAGCTCACGAACTACAGTGCACCCGCCAGGAGACCTTCCCTTTCCTTAGACTGCATCAGTTCCTAATGCTGTAGACTCGAATGTTACATCTGATCATACTGCAACAATATCCGAGGCTTACCGGGACATTAATAAACAATTAGTGAAAGATATTCAATATGTATATATTATAACATATCTTTGGTATCCGTGATGAAGAACCCAGCAATATGGTAGTCAGTATAATAACAAGAAGTACCATATTTCCATCTCTGTTGTCCAGGTAGGAACTGGGTGTAAGTTTAGCACAGTACAGCAGTTCACACTACGACGCGTGGGAGCATCAGTCCCCGAGGAGTCGTGTCAGATTCAAGCATTGTTCATTTCTAACCTGTAATATTCCAGCTGCCTCCCAGATATGAGAGGCATCTTTCAGAACTGTTGCACCCCTTGCATTCCTGTATGACTGTGTTGACTATGTCAGGTGAGGAACATGACGTTTTAAGGGTGCCTGTGTCAAGGGAGGAAACATCTGAAGGATGGCGGGTTTTGTTCCTATTGGGGAATACTGTACATGCTGCTATGGCGGTATGTGTCCACTCACAGGATGAGTGGCGCTGCCCAATAAACTCACTCCTCGGGGTAAAATTAAAAAAATCTGAAGGGTGCCACTCTGGCTGGTGCTAGGAGAGAGGAAGGTGACTCCTGAAGGAAGCCAGAGAGGCCTGGCGCAAGTTGTTCCCTCCATCGATCTCTCACTCCTCACCCACTCTGGTGCTTCCTCCTCCTCGTCCTCCATGAAACTTGAATTATTTTTGTTTTAACTTTTCCAATTAAATTTACAGCTTCCCCAATTACTTTCTTGAAGTTCATGTTATTTTAGAAGTTTAATTTTTTTAATAACTCTTAATATTCGAGAATATTTATGTTATAATGTCAGTTGTTTGATGATTGTGAAGATGCTGAACAAATAAATGATTGGTGACGAGGTTCACAAGGGGCGACACGAGTCGTTGCGGGTGTTGAGCTGGAAGTTATCTTTTGCCAGTCCGTCCTCCAAACAAAAACCCGAAAGTGATTCCATCCACCCGCCAAACCCCTTGCGCTGTTTATGAATGAAAAACAGTTTACACACGACTCTCAACTGATGTTCGAACACTTCCGGAACAAATGTTTCACTGACGAATTTTGTTCGAACCACAACGCTGTAAAAGCTTCACCCACGTATTATAAATACAAATAATCGCCAACAGAACCTAAACACCTAACCTATGCCTATATATATGCAAAATTTGCTAATATATTATAATATTAATTTATATTTGAGAAAATTTCCGTTTTGAATGAACAGCATGTTAAAATTTATGAATGCGTCTATGGGGTCGACCGCTGGATGGCATGGACTTGAGTAAAGGACGGGTTGGGGCTGCTGTATACGGGTGAAATGACCTGACGGCCGTCGTTCTCGTTTGTCGTTGACGAACATGGCGCAAAGTGGATGAAACAGCATACTTGTAGCTAGGGTGAGGTTGAGTGCAGGCTGTCGTCCTCGCTGACGTGTACGGGTGTCGTCCAGTGTCAGCTGATGTTGACGGGTGTCGTCCAGTGTCAGCTGATGTTGACGGGTGTCGTCCAGTGTCAGCTGATGTTGACGGGTGTCGTCCAGTGTCAGCTGATGTTGACGGGTGTCGTCCAGTGTCAGCTGATGTTGACGGCTGTCGTCCAGTGTCAGCTGATGTTGACGGGTGTCGTCCAGTGTCAGCTGATGTTGACGGGTGTCGTCCAGTGTCACCTGATGTTGACGGCTGTCGTCTAGTGTCAGCTGATGTTGACGGGTGTCGTCCAGTGTCAACTGATGTTGACGGGTGTCGTCCAGTGTCAGCTGATGTTGACGGGTGTCGTCTAATGTCAGCTGATGTTGACGGGTGTCGTCTAATGTCATCTGATGTTGACGGGTGTCGTCTAATGTCAGCTGATGTTGACGGGTGTCGTCCAATGTCAGCTGATGTTGACGGGTGTCGTCCAGTGTCAGCTGATGTTGACGGGTGTCGTCCAGTGTCAGCTGATGTTGACGGGTGTCGTCCACTGTCAGCTGATGTTGACGGGTGTCGTCCACTGTCAGCTGATGTTGACGGGTGTCGTCCACTGTCAGCTGATGTTGACGGGTGTCGTCCACTGTCAGCTGATGTTGACGGGTGTCGTCCACTGTCAGCTGATGTTGACGGGTGTCGTCCACTGTCAGCTGATGTTGACGGGTGTCGTCCACTGTCAGCTGATGTTGACGGGTGTCGTCCAGTGTCAGCTGATGTTGACGGGTGTCGTCCAGTGTCAGCTGATGTTGACGGGTGTCGTCCACTGTCAGCTGATGTTGACAGGTGTCGTCCACTGTCAGCTGATGTTGACGGGTGTCGTCCACTGTCAGCTGATGTTGACGGGTGTCGTCTAATGTCAGCTGATGTTGACGGGTGTCGTCGGTGATAGAAAGTTTGATCATCGTGTCGTTCAGTTGTTCAGTAACGGCACGAGGCAACTGCTGCGTTAAGCGACACAAAGAGCATACCTGAGAGCTGCCCTTACACTGTTTCACAGTGTAACCGTGATGTGTCATGTTCTACTTCACAGTGTGAACGCGGCTCTATATTTCACGGGTTTTAGCGTGACACCGTATATCACAGTACAAGCATGACACCATATTTCACTGTGTTCACAGTAGCTCAGCATGATCACCTTTCGATATTTCTCCTTTCACTGCGTGATTGCGAGTCATTGATCGCATTCCGGGCTGTGGGAGATCGTGCCGAGGAATGTAACTCCGGCGCCCCTGACTACCGGAATGTTCCCAGTCTTGACACTTTACAATCAACATAAACCGTGAGAGTTGAGGAGGCCAGCGGGAGGCTGGCGGGGGAGACAGTCATCTCCACGCCCCGGGGTGAATACTGTTTGATTCATCCTGGTGTGGATGGAGGTGTGGCCCCTGATCCTGGGGGATGGAGGTGTGGCCCTGATGCTGGGGATGGAGGTGTGTGGCCCTGATGCTGGGGATGGAGGTGTGGCCCTGATGCTGGGGGATGGAGGTGTGGCCCTGATGCTGGGGAATGGAGGTGTGGCCCTGATGGTGGGGGATGGAGGTGTGTGGCCCTGATGCTGGGGGATGGAGGTGTGGCCCCTGATGCTGGGGAATGGAGGTGTGGCCCTGATGCTGGGGATGGAGGTGTGGCCCTGATGGTGGGGGATGGAGGTGTGGCCCTGATGCTGGGGGATGGAGGTGTGGCTCCTGATCCTGGGGGATGGAGGTGTGGCCCCTGATCCTGGGGGATGGAGGTGTGGCCCCTGATGCTGGGGGATGGAGGTGTGGCCCTGATGCTCGGGGATGGAGGTGTGGCCCCTGATCCTGGGGGATGGAGGTGTGGCCCTGATGCTGGGGGATGGAGGTGTGGCCCTGATGCTGGGGGATGGACGTGTGGCCCTGATCCTGGGGAATGGAGGTGTGGCCCTGATGATGGGGGGATGGAGGTGTGGCCCTGATGCTGGGGGATGGAGAAGTGGCCCCTGATGCTGGGGGATGGACGTGTGGCCCTGATGCTGGGGGATGGACGTGTGGCCCTGATGCTGGGGGGATGGAGGTGTGGCCCTGATCCTGGGGGATGGAGGTGTGGCCCTGATCCTGGGGGATGGAGGTGTGGCCCTGATGCTGGGGGATGGAGGTGTGGCCCCTGATGCTGGGGGATGGAGGTGTGGCCCCTGATGCTGGGGGATGGAGGTGTGGCCCCTGATGCTGGGGGATGGAGGTGTGGCCCTAATGCTGGGGGATGGAGGTGTGGCCCCTGATGCTGGGGGATGGAGGTGTGGCCCTAATGCTGGGGGATGGAGGTGTGGCCCTGATGCTGGGGGATGGAGGTGTGGCCCTGATCCTGGGGGATGGAGGTGTGGCCCTAATGCTCGGGGATGGAGGTGTGGCCCCTGATGCTGGGGGATGGAGGTGTGGCCCTGATGCTGGGGGATGGAGGTGTGGCCCTGATCCTGGGGGATGGAGGTGTGGCCCTGATGCTGGGGGATGGAGGTGTGGCCCTGATCCTGGGGGATGGAGGTGTGGCCCTGATCCTGGGGGATGGAGGTGTGGCCCTGATGCTGGGGGATGGAGGTGTGGCCCTGATGCTGGGGGGATGGAGGTGTGGCCCTGATCCTGGGGGATGGAGGTGTGGCCCTGATCCTGGGGGATGGAGGTGTTGCCCTGATCCTGGGGGATGGAGGTGTGGCCCTCCATCCCCCAGGATCTTAAATGTGGAACATTTAAGAACAATTGAGAGGCAGAAGGCTCTAAACAACAGATCATTGTCAGTCTCATTCATTCCCAGTAAAGTACTGGAGAGAACCACAGGAGAAGACTGGTGAGTCATCCTGAGGGAGGCACTTCTTGTCTCCAAACACCAGTAACACGGCGTCTGGGAATACAATTACTGCTTAACGAACCTGCTAAAATTTGATGACAACGCAACAGTGATAAAGTACAAAAGCGAGTGATGGGAGTGTGTGTCTTTCTTTATCCTCAGAAGACATTTGATGCAGCTCCTCAGGAACGACTGCTGTACAAACTTAAAAAGTAAGTTTAATTAAAATGGTGCTAAATCAGTTTAGAAAATAACGAGTAGTAAGTGGAGAATTAGAGTGTAAGTAAAACTTTAGAGTGGAGTGAGGTCACTCGTGGAGTACTGTAATCATCAGCACTTGGGCTGGGCAGCAGGTCGCCCAGAGGGTCAGGACTCCCGCTAAAAGGTGCGTCCTATTCCAGGTAGCCATTCACTGCTGGGTGAACAGAGGTAACAGTTACGGATTAGCGCTAGGCCAAAGCGCTTGCGAAGCGCCGGGCGAGTGTTTTACCACTGCGCCAAGGGGACAAATTGTATATTGACTATTATTTCTGGCTAAAGAACTTCTAGTACTTCTTCAACACCGATAAAGAATGGGTTGGGAAAAATGAAGAGAGCTTTAAGGCGGTGTCAGAATACCTTTCGTGTAACTGAACTCTAAAATCTTCATGCATTGCCTTTCTGTGCTTGTATCAGCATGAAATTCAGGTGTGTCTTGCATGGATCTCAATTGCCTTTCAAAGAGCTGTAGTTTCATTTCAAAGGAACGAATACAGATTGAGTCAAAGCTAGGGCTCAGGTGGAGGTTGAGTCTTAGGGGCTCTGGTGGAGGTTGAGTCTTAGGGGCTCTGGTGGAGGTTGAGTCTTAGGGGCTCTGGTGGAGGTTGAGTCTGAGGGGCTCTGGTGGAGGTTGAGTCTGAGGGGCTCTGGTGGAGGTTGAGTCTGAGGGGCTCTGGTGGAGGTTGAGTCTTAGGGGCTCTGGTGGAGGTTGAGTCTTAGGGGCTCTGGTGGAGGTTGAGTCTTAGGGGCTCTGGTGGAGGTTGAGTCTTAGGGGCTCTGGTGGAGGTTGAGTCTTAGGGGCTCTGGTGGAGGTTGAGTCTTAGGGGCTCTGGTGGAGGTTGAGTCTTAGGGGCTCTGGTGGAGGTTGAGTCTTAGGGGCTCTGGTGGAGGTTGAGTCTGAGGGGCTCTGGTGGAGGTTGAGTCCGAGGGCTCTGGCAGATTTGCGAAGTCAGTGGAAAGACTGGTGAAGTGAGTCTAAGGTGGATTTATAGTGGTGAATAGTGTTGAGTGGAGACTAATTCACATATTCATGTGTCGTGGGTTATATTGATGTAATTGATGTTGGTGTCGAGTGCGGAAGTATTTTGTTGACAAGAATTGTCACAAATGGGTTAAATGAACAAGGTCTGATTGATGCCTCATGCAACCCGCTCTCGCACAAGACAGTACATATATGACTTATTGCTTATTGTCACTATTTGGCTGATTAATAAGTACATATGTGGTATTTGCCAAGTTATATTTTGTTTTTAAGGTACAAACTCTTATTAAAGAGTTACTCAACACCAGTTTTAATATTAGGAATTTCTTTTTCAGTTTTATTAAACAGTAGAGATTTTATACAATATTTGACAATATCCTGAGTTACTTTACAATTTATTTAAATATTTTTTTTGTTTTATTATTTTTATAAAACTGTAATATCAACATAGGCATAGGTTAGGTACTAATCGTAATTAAGAAGAAATAAGATGCTTATCTTAACATACTAAAAAGGTTAGTTTAGGTCGGTGTTTTCTATTCAGCTTTTCAAGGTAAACTCAAATATTCACAATAACTTGATATGTCAAATATGCACTTATTAATAAACTAATATTGACTATAAGCAAGTGCGATTGCTTACTTCCATCTTTGATGAAGTAAATAAGAAGTATTTTATGTTAATAGTGGTTTTTGGTTTTCACTTCAAGTTCAAGTACGTTTATTGAGACAATATTATACGTCTCAAAGGGATAGAGTAGCGTACACTATTTCTACCTCCTCACGTGTTCACTTATTGTCTGGTGGACTTATACTCTGAGAAGTTGGTAAAGTCAGCAAGTTTAATTGGGTTAACTCTCTTTGTTAAAGACATTCAATGATCAAGTTTAAAATATTACCTTTCTCCCCCTCCCCTATCCCGGGGTTATATGTTGACCTCATGACGGAGCTGCTTGAGTGTTGATCACTGCTACTATTGCATGAGACGCTTGCCAAGTTGTTTGTATGAAGGTGAGGTAATTATAAGGAGGAAGCACTAAGCCTGTATGTATGTGTGTGTGTGTGTGTGTATGTATATATATATATATATATATATATGTCGTACCTAGTAGCCAGAACGCACTTCTCAGCCTACTATGCATGGCCCGATTTGCCTAATAAGCCAAGTTTTCATGAATTTATATATTTTCTCTAATTTTTTTCTTATGAAGTGATAAAGCTACACATTTCATTGTGTATGAGGTCAATTTTTTTTTATTGGAGTTAAAATTAGCGTAGATATATGACCGAACCTAACCAACCCTACCTAACCTAACCTATCTTTATAGGTTAGGTTAGGTTAGGTAGCCGAAAAAGTTATGTTAGGTTAGGTTAGGTAGGTTAGGTTGTCGAAAAAAAACAATTAATTCATGAAAACTTGGCTTATTAGGCAAATCGGGCCTTGCATAGTAGGCTGAGAAGTGCGTTCTGGCTACGTGGTACGACATATATATATATATATATATATATATATATATATATATATATATATATATATATATATGTCGTACCTAGTAGCCAGAACGCACTTCTCAGCCTACTATGCAAGGCCCGATTTGCCTAATAAGCCAAGTTTTCATGAATTAATTGTTTTTTCGACAACCTAACCTACCTAACCTAACATAACTTTTTCGGGTACCTAACCTAACCTAACCTATAAAGATAGGTTAGGTTAGGTAGGGTTGGTTAGGTTCGGTCATATATCTACGCTAATTTTAACTCCAATAAAAAAAAATTGACCTCATACACAATGAAATGTGTAGCTTTATCACTTCATAAGAAAAAAAATTAGAGAAAATATATAAATTCATGAAAACTTGGCTTATTAGGCAAATCGGGCCATGCATAGTAGGCTGAGAAGTGCGTTCTGGCTACTAGGTACGACATATATATATATATATATATATATATATATATATATATATATATATATATATATATATATATATATATATATATATATATATATATATATATATATATATATATATATATATATATATATATATATATATATATATATATATATATATATAATATATATATATATAGCGCCTTGGAAGGTATATGAGGACAAAGAACTGGGATAGGACGGAGGGGGGTGGAATGAATGGTGCCCAACCACTTAAATCGTCGGGAATCGAACGCCGACCTGCAAGAAGCCAGGCCGTCGTCGTGATTTGGCAGATCAAGTGATTCGCAGATCCCATTATGTTCCCAGCGTTTGTTAATTATTTAATAACTTCCTGTCATAATTTACTTGGGTGCGAAACTGCCACGTGGGGGTGCAGAACAAGCTGTACATTAAGGGTTATTTCGGGTTTGGATAAGGCGTGAATTTGTGCCTTCCAGCACCGGAGCTGCGCTTATCCTCACTTGCTGTGCAGTTTTTTACCTCTTTATTTAAGGAAAAACATTTGAAGCGCTTCTTTGCTTCGTAATATTTTTTTTCTGATTATAATTGGGGTGAAGGATCTCGTGAGCCCATCAAGAGGAAGATGGCTGCTCCGATGTCTCAAAAGTTGGGACTTGTTGTCGCTCGCAGACACCTTGTAAACTCTAGTTGCTTTTAAAGACGCTTTGTTTAGCACGGATATCTTGTATTATTTCATCCTCTGTTAACTTGTTATCATGGAGTCTTTCCTAGGCACGAAAACTGTGCGCCTGGCATGATGTTTTACTGTTGGCACTGGTGTCAGGTTAACGGACTTAACCTTGTTTAACGAGTTTGTGTAAAATGTTTATTGAGTTCTTCGTGATCTGACACCGGTATGATTACACCATCACAGGTATATAAAATGTTGAGAGGTGAACCCTCGGAGTGGTCGTGAAAATGTCCATGTAGCACCGGCTATAGTGAGCCCGTAATGGAGGTGAGGCGATCAACTGCGGTTTAGTAGGGTGAAAGAGAGGTGGAGATGAAGGGAGGGAGGTGTAACATCAAGATAAAATCTTTATTCGTAAATGGTTATACATTTATTATTGGGCAAGTTTTCATAGAATTACACTACATTATTATTATGTAAAAAAGTCACAATAACAGCATAGTACGTAGACACCATCATTATATATAGTTCACGATTTACATTAGAATATTTATTTGTATACAAAAATCATTACAATAAGCTGCAGTGAAAAGCTGTTACAAGAACATGAAAAAGTTCAAAGCATACAATTACTGCTGTGAAACTGATGTTGATAAAACGTACAGCATAAAATTAGTATGACGAGAACACAAATTTGATGGGTAGCTAATACAAAATATTAAAAGTTTATATAAACTATACCGTAAAGTTAAAGAAATTTGCCTATGAATCGTTGACTGTTACGGGTCATTAAAATATTTTTGTTTTCCACTTTATTCGTCTTATCGACTGGCAAGGGATATATCTTGCCAATAACCACACGGGGCTCGAATTGGCTATGAATGATTCAACGGTTCCCAGTTCTGAATTATTGAGAGTCGTTAGAACCGTTGAGAGTAGTTTCGTTAGGAGCACTTCGTGGCACATTTGTCCTCCGTGCAGCCATACACAACACAGCCTCCACCACACCACACAGCCTCCACCACGCAACACAGCCTCCACCACACCACACAGCCTCCACCA